ATTCGGGGGGGGGAAGCAAAGCAACACAACACACACACACACACACACACACACACACACACACACTTACACACACAGCCTTTGGGTTGAACTTGGGCTGGTTCCAACCAAACGATGGAAGACGCGGTGCTGAGTCAGCGGTATTTTTACCAGGCACCCGGTGGCGGAAGAATGTTATTCCCTATACAACTTGCAGCCAATCACATGCCATCCCACCCTTCCCTGTCTCGGTAAGACGGTGAATTTCGGCAGCTAAAACCCCTTGTACTGTAATAATCAGTTGACTGGTTGGTCAGAGTTACTGAGCTAATAATAATAATTGTTAAGTAACCAACGAAACTAATCATACGAAACGAACTTAACGTTAACAAACCAGTGGTGGGGTTGGTTTAACCGAGCTAACTAAGGAGGTTAGACTACGGTTTCAGCAGCAAATAATAGTAGGCTGCAGAAATAAATTACCTGATGGCATCGCAGGGTCGGATAATGACATTTGGGGGCGGGGGGGGGGGGGGGGGGGGGGGGAAAAGGAAAGGGGGGGGGGGGGGGGGTTTTTTTTTTCTAAGGAAAAAAGAAAAAAAAAACACTGGTGGGGGGTGCGCGGGGAAAAAAATGAAACCCAAAACGCCAGGTGTCCCGGCGGGGGGTGTTATCCACCCCACCCCCGCTTTTTTTTTTCGGTGCTTGATTTTTGGGGGAGAATGTTAAATAGGGTCAAAAAAAAAATTGGGGACCAGGCGGAAATAAATGATTGATAATAAACTTATATTTTTTGCAGCCCGCCGTTGAGAAAATACATCGGAAGAAAGACAACATACATTTTCCTGCGTTGTTGCCCCCGCGAGTGTGCATCACGTGGTCTGGCGTTATTGCTTCCCGCCGCCAAACCCTTTAATTAGTTAAAGAGTATTATTGTTTGTTTCTGTTGAACGGGGGGGGTTGGCTTTCGGGCTTGTAGTTACCAGGCTGTCTGCGCCCTAGAGTTGCCCCTTTTGGTGTCGAGGTTGCTTTCACCAGAGGCAAGTTTTGGGGGGAGCCATTTAAGGAGCGACCAAGGTTAACCCCATTTATATACACGCAAGGACGATTTTTGCTGCACATTACCTCTCTGTCTTCGCCGGGTCATTGACGATGCCTGGTGTAATGCGGGAGCACATTCCGGCAGGGTAGTGTGTGTCCCCTGCTCCTCCGGTTCAAGGGAGCTTAGACTTTGTTCATTGACGCTGAGATAATGGCAACTTTTTGTGCAGTTCTTCGATTATTTTACCAGAGTATATACACAATGGCCCCTGTCTCAGGGTGTATATGTCTGCCTCGGTCCTAAACTCTGGAAGAGACAGAGCAATCTCTATTCTCCAAGTCTCCTCCTGCCAGTGGGACCAGTTGGGTGGAGTTTCACAATGAATATCTTGTCTTCATGCCCCGGAGGATGCCTAGTTGGTTAGGGAGAAGGCTGACAACTGCATAACCGTTTATATTCCGCGTAGACCCAATCCAACTTTCTTTTTCTCTTTCCTTCACCATCTTGGTTTACTTTCTCTGTTGCTTGTTGTTTCCTTCGTCAAAAATCCCAAGTCTTAATCCTTTAGACTGGCTGCCTGTCATGTGAGGTTGAAATCCTTTCAATATTCTACTCCCTCCAAGAAATGTGTTTTCAAGTTTCG